TAGTTAAACCCCCCCCCCCCCAACACCCCTCCCCTTCCCTTCTTCAAACGGCTATAATGCCATTGAGGAGCCCTCAGTCCCTCACCCCTGCAAAAAAAAACTGACGGGCTGACAAAGGAACCAAAAGAAAAAGAAAAAAAATTCAAATGGTCGGTATCAGAACAGGTACCGCCGGTGCTGGTACCGAAAAACTTGCACCGGAACCGATATCGTGTAGGACGGACTTGAATAATCAGTCGAATGAGTTTTCTAACTACGTTATCGATACCGGTTCTCGGAACCGTCCTCCCGTGTCCATGTCCGTCTCCGGTGGCAGTACCGTCGCCGGTAACGATACCGTACCGATCCTGTGTCCAGCCCTATATAGTGCCTTAGTTCGGCCCGAAACCCAGCCCGACCCAATATTGGATCAGGTCTATTGTAGTCCCAATTCGGCGACAATTTTTTAAAAAAAATTACACTAAGAGCATGTTCTTTAAGGCTTGAACTCTTAACTTCCAGTTTCTTCCAGCTCTTCAAGTTTCTTCCAACTATTCTCATTTTCTTCAAACTGTCTCTACTCCTCAACCAAATACTCTAAAAACGATATATTTTAATGTGATTATTATTATTATTACAACTGTTATGTTCATAAATATAATTTATAAATTATTTTTTTCATCTAAATATTTTTATGATTCACACTCATTATTTTTTTTCTTCAACTTTTTAACATGAATAAGCAATTTTTTATATATTAGTCTAAATAAAAAGACAGGAAAATATCAATATGTTAAATTATATTAACAAAATTATGGATAAAATAGTGAAATTGAATATTTTATTAATCTAACTTTATATAAGATCTCTCACATTTCCCTGTATTACTTAAAATTTGCTCATTTTTCTAATTTTTATAAAAAAAATTGTAAGTCAAAATAGTTTAGAGAAAAAGACTAAAATAGGAGTAAAACAAAAATGTAAAAAAAAGTTTATTATGTCTTTGTTCCAACAATATGACTTCAATGAAAATAAAATGTCAATCATGAAAGAAAAAGTAGGTTTGATTATATTATGTGACATGTCTGATATTTAAAATAAAATCTTGTAATATATAAAGTATAATTACAAATATATTATTTATAATAAATACTACATAAATAAATGGAGGTGCAATATAACCCCAAAATTTAATATTTTTATATTTATGCTAACTTTATATTATAATTATTTTTTTGCAAAAGTAGTTTTTTGTATTTAAAAAATAATAATACTTTTTTGTATAATAATAATAATAATAATTTATAACAACAAGAATTTAAAATAAATGTTTTTAAAGTTTTTTTAGGTCTTTCAATTTTTTTGAAGTTTTTCCAATTTCTTCCCGTTCCTTCCAGTTTTTTCTAGTTTATTCCTATTTCTTCCAGTTTTTTCCAGTTTCTTTCAATATCTAGCTCTTTTTTCAAGTCCTAACTAACAGGCCCTAAATAGAACTAAAACATAATGAATTTCTCTATGTAAGACTTAATTTTTTTATATTTCTTAAATAAGACTTAATAATATCTAGTGAGAGGATTAATATGTAGTGATGGTGGACGTTCACCTAAATAATGTTTCTACATTAAAAAATAAAAATATATGATCCTATATTAAAAAGTTGATTGATTTTCTATTTTTTAGTCTTTTCTCCTGCTCCTCTCATGTTTGGCTTTTGTAACTATGCCATGGGGGGCCACCGGCCCTTCCTGTCTCTCGTCACTGTTACGAAAAATGGTCCACCACTCCACCCTCACATCAGCCATTGTGGCTGTCCACAATTATGAGGCCCCACCTCGTTTTTTAAACCTTATCCTTTCGATCCATATGCTAATAATTCAGCCTAATGGAGTTTCCATTAACAAACGCTGAAAACAATTACTCCCTCCGTCCTCCTGTATTTGTCCACTTTCATTTTTACACATCATCCAATGCACTTCTTTAATTCATTTCATCTTGTAATTTGTATATTAAAAAATTATAAAAATTATATATTAATAATCTATATGTTAAGAGAAATCAAACAAGATCACACATGACTATATTTAGGCTTACACAAAATGTCCAAATATGTTCTCAAAAAATCAATTCAACTAAAAATTTAAATTTGTAATAGTAGTTTAGGATTTTTTTTGTTATAACATGTTCCTCATGTAGAGGCATAATATTTTTCAAACATTACAATTTACACATGAAACTTTAAAATTTTAAAACTGGACGAACCTGAATTTCAAAGTCATGACTTCTTAGTTAACAACGTTCTGATTCTATGCTAAAAAAAACAAACTCAACCAAAAATTTAAATTTGTAGTTGTGACCGATGAAAAGTTTTTTTTATTCTAACTGAAGTATAGTCACATCCTAATTTATATGCATACTACCCTCGTAAGTTTATCAATGTCATGGGATTACCTGGAGGTGCTCCGGTATCCCGTTCATAAAATTGATGGTTCTTACCCCTCAACCCTAGTAAATCCCCCCACTCTGCCCCAACCCGAACACTCTCCTACCCCTTCAATTACACCCCACAAGTTGATTTTAACTAGACTCTGCATGTACAAATTCATAGACCAAATTTGTGAATTCTTACTAATTCTGATTTATTTTATGCGTCACATAATTATTAAAAATAATAATTAAAAATATTTGTCAATACCAATAATCTGGTATAATTTTATGTGGGTATATCACTTTATATATTTATATATAATTGTTCTAACGTTTGAGGCATAAAATAAATAAGACAGTTATAAAAGAAGAGAGGGTATTAAGCATGTCCTCAATCTCTCAATTGCATTATCTATACTAAGTTTTGTATTTACTCGAATAAAGTAGCACCTTCTAATCTAATCTAATCTTCTATGGGAGTAGAAAATTTTAATTGCATTATCTTTATTTTCTTAAGCAGGTCCTCTTTTGCTTTTTCTTTTTTTTTTCCCTGAAAATTTGTTTTCTATCCTCATGAAAGGAAATTCAAGATTTCAATTGGATAAGAATTCAGAAGTTTATTGCTCGAATTAGGGAGAATTTGGATTACCCGCAAAACATTTTTTTTTGCGTAGGATAATACTCCCTACCACCGGTAATTCTTATTTACCACTGGTAGAATTTTATATTTACAGAGTCAACGGATCATAGGGTTTCCAGCCACCAGAGTACACAAAAAAACCGCCACCATGCCTCCGCCGGCGGATACTCTCCGAACTGCAACCGCCGGCATCATCACCGCAGAAATTTGATTTCACTGAACGATCGATCGGATAAGACGACGGTTTCTAGGCATTCGACATGGTGGAAAGCCGGCTTGGCCGCCGCTGAAACCCGAGGCGGCGGCGCTGCTGGTGGGAAGAAGGGCGGATCAGGGCGCCCAAGGCCCGCTTCACCAGATCGCCTTCCACGGTTCCGATCCGGACCAGGGAGTTGGTCATCGCAGACCGCCGCATGTTGAGCCGGTTCGAGTTGCACGCCGATGGGCCGGCGGCGCCGGAGGGACTCGCGTTCTTGTGCAAGCTGCACCTGAACGAGCCGGGATGCTTCGTCGGCGAGCACATACACGTCCGCCTCCGGCCTTCTGTCGCACTTCCCCGGTTCGAAACCGCAATGGACCGGCCAGGTGAACCGGACCGGTCAACCGAAAACCGTACGGAAGAAGCCGGGTTCGAATTCGTCCCAGCTGTATACACGCTCACTCGAGTAGGCGACATGGCCCGGCGCGAAATACTCGGAGTACTCGGCGCGAAAAGAGAAGTCGATGAGGCAAAAGCGGAAGAAGAGCAAGAAAACGGAGACGATTTGTGAGCCGACGAATAGTAACCGTCGGCCGGCGAGATTGACCGGAGAATTTGTCTGGTTGATCGCCGGGAAGTAGCCGCCATTGTTTTTTTTTTTCAATTGTCTGAAGGAGGAGGAAGAATAAGATATTCGAAGAGAATTGCTTTTGGTTGGTGAAAAGCCACTTTGGGCTGTTAGTTTGGCAAACCTATGCTTCGTTCCAGCGGCTTATTTATAGCACCAGAGTTTGGAACTTTGGAGGACATTGCTTATCTGGCAAAAGTTGTAATTATTTATTTCTCCTTTCATTTAAAATGCTTAATTACACCTCACCGAAAATTCCACCTATTTTATATTTAAGGGCATTTACAATCATCCCAAAATACATATAATTAATATAAAAATGTTGTGATTGACATTCTTTATTAAAACAACATCCATATAAAAGATGAAACACATTAAAATATAATTGATGTTAATAAACAAAAAACATAAAAGAAGACGAAATTCTTAAAATAGGTAAGAGCCATTTTTTATTTGAGAGAGATAAAGATAAATTGAGCAAATAGATAAATTGAGAGAAGTGAGATTGGATGGATTGAAATAAAAGATGCGTTTAATTTATACGGTTGAAAGAGAAAAATAAAAAAAAATAATTATATTTCCTGGCGTGGCGGTGGGAGCGACCGTCGGGCGTGCGGCGCGACAAAAGAGCTGCAGCGGCGGGCGAGCCGCATTTCTTTCCCGAGAGGTGTGCGGGCGGATGCATAGCGCTTTTTGAGTCGTTGTAAATGCCCTGTGGGTAACTTAGTAAACTTTCATTTTTTTCTAATTCTTTTTTAAAACATAAAAAATTCGATTGATAAATTTTCTTTCCGAGGGGGAGGAAGTACCAATAATATGTAATTGGTAACCTTAACTATTTCATGTTCACCAAAAACTAAATATTTATATTTTTTAATTATTTGATAAAATTAAATATTTTTGTCATTTTTTATTTTGTAGAATATTTGACGTAGTTTTAAATATGTAATCCATTACTATATTTGAGTCAAATTGAATAAATTTTATTAAAATTAAATTATTTAATAAAAATAATTTAAGAACTTGGAGTTTCACGTCGTTGTATATATTTTAACCAATTTATCTCTTAGTATATTTGAGTCAAATTGAATAAATTTTGAATTTCAATTATACTAAATTTATATTGTATATTAGTACAATAAACTAAAATTTTGAAAGTTTTAAGCAAAATAAACCTTATCATTTTTATTTAATTAAAAACCCAGAATTCATTGAATTTAATTTGAAAAAGTAATAAAATACTCTATCCGTCCCCAATTTGATTACAAATTACGGGTTACGGAGTAAAATTTCCTACTTTTTGAAATCATTTTATTTACAAATTGGTATATCAATAAGATATAGAAATTACATATTAAAAAACTACGTCAAAAGTTTTACAAAACAAGAGGTGACAAGAATCTTTTATTTTATCAAATACTTAAAAAAGTCACATAAACAAATAAAATTTATCGTGAAGTGAGAAAAAAAAAATACCCCGTACTCCACTCCCTATCACGCTTCCACCCACAATTAAGTTCATCAGTTATGAAAGCGTCAAACCAAATGTGACTATGTTTGACTTGGCTTGGGCTCCTCCCACTATACGTTGGCGTAGCAAGTCAGAGTCCCACTGGAGCGGATTATGGATAATCATACACTAGGGATGGGATGGGACCGCCATGGGTAATAAAACTTAGCCATGGTAAATTTAGTGGTCAACGATGATAGATGACAATGCGGTCTCTCTTCAAACTTAACCATGGTAAATTTTACTCTCTCCTTCTCGAAGTTTTTTTACTGCTTTTGATATTTTCGGTCAAAATTTAGAAATTTTAACTTCAAATTCAATAAAAATGATATTAGATATTGATACAAAAATAGTTTTATTAGATTTCTAATATAAGATATTTGTAAAATATTATTTTATCTAATTAATATATAATATATATTTTATTTAATTATAGGTTAAAGATTGAAAACGATTGACTGAAAAAAGTCAAACCGGACAAATTCTATGGGACGGAGGGGTAACATTTTTAAAATTAAGTTTTTTTGTGTTATTCATCTCTAAACTTTTAAAAAATTGTGTGAATTCCCTTTGAGCTTCAAAATTTGCACAAGTGCTCCCTAAAATCATAAACTTTTAAAAACGTTGTATCAATGATCTCTCTATACCAGATTATGATGGTAAAGAGATTAATATAGAAATAAAATATTGAAAATACATCAAAACAAGAGCTTTATATTTTTATTCTTAAAATAAACATTAAAATGCATTTAGATTACTAATCATGCTCATATACATTATCAAAAATAATTATCTATGCTTGTTTGTGTGAAGTATGGGTACACCCATAAGAGCACTCATGGAGTGGCAAGCCTAGCATTATGTTAAATATATTATTTATATTTAATTATTCTTGTATTATAGTGTTACCATAATTGTATTACCTTCCTACTATGTCTCTCCTACCATAATTAGGATTGAGACCCCTTGTATAAATACATATGTAATTAACACAAATCATCAATGAAAATATTTTTTCTACATGGTATCGGAGCCTAGTTAAACCCTAAAACCTAAAACCTTCCCAGCGCCGTATCTCTCTTCTTCGGCCCTCTCTCGCCGATCTCTCCCTCTCGCTGCTCTGCACTGCCGGCGACCCCTCTCCCTCATTCCACCATGGCTGACAAAGCAGAGAGTGCAATCACCTCTCAAGACACCACCTCCAAATCTCCCCACCTTTCCTTCACCACCATCTCCAAAGTGAAACTCCACGTTCCTATTCAACTCAGTTTCTCACAACCCAATTACAAAAAGTGGAGTCGATTGTTTCTCCTCCTAGTTCGGCGCTTCAACCTCCATAGGTACCTCGACGGCTCCGTCGTCCCCACCTCTTAAGACGATGATGAATGGTTTCAACTGGACGCTCTTCTCCAGGGTTGGATCCTCTCTACCATCACCGACGAAGTTTCGGATCTTGTCATCTCCTCCACCACTTCTGCAGCGTCTCTCTGGAAGGTCATTCACGATCTCTTTCATGACAACAAACATGCTCGTGCCATGCAACTCGAGCACCAATTCCGCACCACCATCAAAGGCAACACCCCTATGGCTACCTACTGTCAGACTCTCTTCAACATCGCCGATTGGCTAGACGATGTTGATGCACTGGTGTCACAGCACCAACTCGTTCTTTAGATGCTACGAGGGCTACCGGAGGATCTCCAGGCTCAGACTTCTTTTCTTCAATTCCAGGACCCGTTGCCTACATTCCTCCAAGCCCGTTCGGCTCTTCTTTTGTTGGAACGGCAACGGACATTGCTGGACAATCATGGATCGTCGGCCCTCGTAGCACGCTCGGGCAGTTCTCCCCACTCCGGGGGTTATGGCGGCAGCAACCAGTCGACGGGCAGCAGCTTCTCCGGCGGGTCCCAGGGCAGTTTTGGCAGCGGCAATGGGGATGGCTCCTCTGGGCAGCGCAGCGGCTATGGACGGGGTCAGGAAGTGGCGGTGGAAACTGGGGACGAGGTTGAGGTCGTAGTGGCTCAAACGGATCGCGGCAACGACCACCCAACGACGGCTACCATACCTGGAACTCACCACACCCGAATCCTAACCCCGGGCTGTTGGGCCCACGGCCCACCCCCTCCCCCCACCCCTACCAAGCCTATGCTTACCACGCCATCAC